CTCAAATCCTGAATGATGCAAAGAAAAAGCTTTTATGATCGTTTGTTGTGTTTGACTGCCCTTGCTCTTCTCTCTTTCCTTTCCGCTCCCTCTCTGGAGACTAGATCCCAAAAGGCACACAACAATCAGTGTCATTTAAAGTTGTCAGCATCAAGCTGTCATCTTAATACAATCTTCATTCCAAACACTCTCTTTCTTTAATATCAATGTATCCTTTGATAGATATTGACAGCAATGTTTACTTGTTGTCTTTTATTTCCCAACTTTTCTATATGTTAATTTATCAGCAATTTCGATTGATGTGCTCTTTGATTTCTTTTATCTTATTTTGCTTTGTCCTCTTCCAAGGCACCCCTTCCAGTTAATCATATCTGTGTGCTTGATTTATTCCTTCTTTTCTTATTACCCTATTGCTGTGATACCCTAGTTATATGAAAGGTTGCATTCCTCTTCCAACATAAATGTTTGTTTTGTGTAAGAAATGACAGCTAACAAAGAGATGCATTTCTGAACTGATTTGCCCTAAACAACACTTTGAGAGCTTATTTATTTCCTACCCATAATTCCTTTTTTGTCAGCAAAGAATCAAATGTAATGGGGGGAAAGACGTAAGGTACTTGGCACTGGAATCTAGATTAGCATATAGTATTTTAGAAATTTCTACTTCTCTTCCATATTTCATCTGAGATTAGAAAAAAAGAAAGACTCTTTCAAGCCCCAAATGAGTACAGAACAAGATTGTGCAATTCTGTGGTCTTAATTAACACTTAACACTTACTTAAGACCAAATGAATTTAACAAAAGCTAAGTTTTGGTGACAGTTACAGCATTGCACTATAAATCATACATAACACCATAAACAATCAATGTTAGAGACTGTGCTTGGAGAATATTTTAAAAGTCGATTACATATTTATGTCTCATCTTTTAATTCATATCACTCGATTAGCTGTTCAAAATCAGCATCTTTTTCCCTCTAATAGAGCAGCCTAGTCACATATGCCATCCAGATATAAGAATGCAAAACAGAGTAGGCTAAAAAGCAAAGTTTAGAAATAACACACAACAAATAAGAACAGTCCCTGTGACATTTTTCCTTTGGGGTTAGGGAGTATATAATGATGTTCCTTGTGCAAAACAACAGAATGACAAGTATAATGTTTCTTGTTCTATCTCACATTACTTTTTCTAGCTACTTTTGGAGGGCTAAAATGTTAGGGGGAAATTTAGGGATGATGCCTTCCTCCAGTTTAAACTTATTTCTTATTATATAAAATGGTCCACAACATCTTTTCAAATAAAATAAATGTACTAGAAAATAAATGAACAATACAACAAATTACTATTTTTTTCTTGATGAGAGTAATGGCAATTAACTATGTTTTAGGTCTTACAACAAGTTATTTTTTTTCAAAAAACAAAACAAAAACAACAACAACTTAACATTCCAAGGTTTGATTAAAAGGCCGGATCAGTGGATAGGACATTATATACAGAAGGTAGATTTCAGATCTACAGAAGGTAGATTTCAGTAATATAATACAGGTTAGTTTCATAGATTTTATTTCAATTCTGTCAGTTAATAGAAGCATAGCCCTTCACTCACTTATTTGATATTTCAATACTTTTTGACAAGTTATTTTGCCTTTAGGTATCATAAATCACTACCTATATTTTGCAGTTTTGTTTGCTCTTTCAATAACTACATTCAAATACTCTGTAGGTAGTTTTTTTCTAAATAGATGCAAACAGTAGCAGCACCCAAAGGCTGCAAAGCCAAAAGGGGAAGAAAAGTGAAATCTGAGGAATGAATGTATTCATAAATGTATTCAGGATCTTTCAGCCCTGGTACATGCAACCTTTCAATCAGAATTCCATTGTATCTGCCAAGGGTGCATTCCATGAGTGCCTAGTACAGGCAGTCCCCAAGTTACAACCACGATAGGGTCTGTAGATTCATTCTTGAGTGAAATTTGTTAGTAAATTGGAACAGGTCCAGCAAAAAGTGCACTCTTTGTAATTTGGCCCAAAATGTGCACATTATAGTTCCTGTGTGATTAAAATCCATTTAAAAAAGAAACAAAAAAACCAAAGCTTCCAAGCAATTGAAAGAAAAAAAATATAGAAATAGATAACCCTTCCCTCCAGGAGCCTCTCCAGTTTCCTTGGGGTCCATAGGAAGAAAAGGGAAAATGAGTTTGGAAAGATCCCTAGGAAGAAAAGGGGTTTGGAGAGATTGATGGGGAAAAACATGGAAAAGAGGTTTGGAGTGGTTCATGGGGGGGGGGGGAGATATCTGGAGAGATATCAATAGGAAGAAAAAGGGAAGGAGGTGGAGATACACAGACACACTTTGGCTGAGTGCTAAGATTTAATGGCAGGGAGGGAGGAGAGAGGCCTGTTCAAAACTATGAGGCCCCTTCTACATTGCCATATAAAAGCCAGACTATATGATTTAAACTGGATTATATGACAGTGTAGACTCATATCCAGTTCAAAGCAGATAACGTGGATTATCTGCTTTGATAATTTGGATCATATAGCAGTGTAGAAGGGGCTTGAGTTCATAAACTGGATGTTCATAACTTGGGGACTACTTCTATTTGCAGTTTAGAAAGGGGTATTTAGATTTCTGAGCCAGGTTGCTTCAATGCCTTAACAGGCTACAAACTGCATGATTCCCGAGGATGCAACAACAATGGTTCAAATGAAATCACAGTGGTTTAACTGTGTAGACAGAATGACATATTGCTATTTACTGGTTCTTTCAGATATGTGTGTTTTGCATGCTCATTCCTGTAAAAGAGAAAGGGGACAATAGGTGCCTGCCTACTAATTTTGTTCAGTTGTCCATGTCTCCCCCTCACTTGCCTTATGTATTACAATGAAGCAGCTTGACCTCACCATTGGTGATTTAATTGTTGCTGCCCATGGCAGAGGAAGTAGATGCTAAACTCAGACAGACTTCTGCCTTCAAGGAATTGCTGCTATATAAGGACAGTGACCAGGAGTACCATAGAGAAAAAGAAGGAAAGAGAAAACTCATGCAAAGTTCTGTGTTATGCAATTTTTGAGCCTTATCATTCCAAAACCAGTCTGGAATGGGGGAGTGCAACAACTTTCTCACCGTTATTCTAGTTCTGTGAGTATGCCATTACTTTGACCAACTGAGGTGTTTGTTGAGTCATTCCATCACATTTCTCTCTTATATATGCAGCACTTACTGGCAACCTTGATTTAAACTTTCATAAAAAAAGGAAATCTGCCCACGAGTATAACTACCTAAATAAGATTATCTTCTGAGAACCCAGCTCAAAATAATTCATTTTGATTATATTCATTTATTTCCCCATCAAACCCTAAGAGTTGGAAGGCCTTTAGGTATGATGCCCTCTTATCTGATCATATTTACTGTTATATGCCATCCTCTGCTAGAACAGTCATCATGGAAATTACCTGTTGCCTTCTACCCGAGTCCATAAGTCAAGTGTACTTTTACTTTCTCTAATGGGCCCTTACTTTTATATGTTACTCAAAGTGGTGGACCCTGAACCAGTGCTAGCCCCTGGTAAATTCCTAGATGCCCTTATCAGTGAAAGCAAGGACATGAAGCAAATAAATAGATACATAAACAAGTAGTCATGGGAACAAAAGTGTGCCATCTCTGGGCACAATGGGAAAAAAAATTTGATCACCAACATCCGATGTGCTAAGAAATGCTACTTAGGAATTTACCTAAAACCAATACCACAAATAACTTGTGAATCTATGGCACAATCACCTTTGTAAATTTTCTAAGGTCATGTAGCCCCAGGTTTTGGATCCATGATACTCTTTCACACTACTTTGTTCCATCTAGTGTTGAGGTTTGCAACTGCACAACCTTCAGAACAAAGCATTTTCCCACAGTTGTGAAGTAATCTCTGGAGAAAAAAAAATGTATAGTTTTTTTTTTTGCAGATAATTGTTCTAAAATAGGAAGGAGCTGATTTGTTCTCTGCATTAATTTCAACAGATGTTCATTGGGGAGTACCTATGACACTATCATCACTTTTCTTCTTATGTGGGGAGAGATAAATGCAAGAGATCATACTTAGAGAGAGAAAGAACCAATTTACTCTATTTGTAACAAAGGCCCCTTCCACACAGCTGAATAAAATCCCACATTATCCGCTTAGAACTAGAATATGTGGGAGTGTGGACTCAGATATCCCAGTTCAAAGCAGATATTGTGGGATCTTCTGCCTTGATATTGTACAGAATGAAGAATTTGTTGTGAGTATAGAGCATTTATTGGATGTATATTGTCATTACCCACAGCTGAAGAAACTGGCTACTAGTATTGGCCATATTTTAACCTCCCCCTCGTATCTATTAGCCATGAGTTAAAGGTAAAGGTAAAGGTAGTCCCCTGACATTAAGTCCAGTCATGTCTGACTCTGGGGTGTGGTGCTCATCTCCATTTCTAAGCCGAAGAGCCAGTGTTGTCCGTAGACACCTCCAAGGTCATGTGGCCGGCATGACTGCATGGAGTGCCGTTACCTTCCCGCTGGAGCAGTACCTATTGATCTACTCACATTTGCATGTTTTCGAATTGCTAGGTTGGCAGAAGCTAGGGCTGACAGCGGAAGCTCACGCCGCTCCCCGGAATCGAACCTGCGACCTTTCGATCAACAAGCTCAGCAGCTCAGTGCTTTAACCCACTGCGCCACCGGGGGCTCCAGTCATGAGTTACCACCAAGTTATCTCTATTTACCATGCTGCACATTTATGTAGCTATACTGCCAGCATTGTGTTCTATCTCCAGTTTCTCTGTTACTCTCCAAAGTGATTAATTTACTATTAAAATGGTATACAATTGGAAAACGGTGGTCTTTCATTTGCTATGTAGTTCTGGATATAGTGATGAAAATTACTTTTTTGCTTTGTCCTAGCAAATGATTACTTATTGTAAATGAATAAATGAACAAACAAAGTAATTAGAAAGCCAAACAATCATCTTTCAGAAATCAGCTGCCAGATTTATTTATCTACCTGGAAAAATGTGGAATTTGAACAGAACTTAAAATAAACTTTTCAAAAAAAGATACAGTTTCAAAAGGGTCAATCAATTCCATATAACAACTTGTCATACAACTTTGTCTTGGTAATTCATTCAATGGCGGGTGAAATGCCTGTTTTGTTTTTTACAGTGACTCACTACCTTATACAGTATATATACTTTCTTTAAAAATATTCTTTAGACAGTTGAAACAGTTCCTTTTTTAAAATCATCCATTGCATTCGCCAGATATACTTTTCCTAACAAGACACACTGTACTAACAAGATGCATTGTACCAGTATTGATGAACCAAAAGCAATTGCAGAATGTTTCATTAAAGAGGGGTGGCCGAATTTGTACATCCAGGGCTCCAATTCAGTGAAAACAGCAGCATATGGTTTTCTAAATCTGGATTTCCCCAATGGCTTTCTTCTTTGCATGCACCAAATATTTTCAGGCTTTGCATTTTCTTAGTAAAAAAATGTTCACGGAATATTTTCCAGAACAACTTGCCCATCAAAGACATTCCACCCAATGAATGCAGTTCCTTAATATGTACCATTGAGTCCTGACATCACTCCATGGATGTGGAGAGCAGGTTGACACCCAGGAGACCAAACCAGGCATTTGTCCATTTTGCTATGAAGCAAGGTGAGTAAATGGTTTATAGTAGAAGGATCAAAACCTGACGCACATACACACACCAGCTTCAAGCCACAACACTATGCTAATTTCAGCCAGTCGCCTAATCCTTGTATACATACACACACACACAAGGGAAGAAGGAGAAAGCAATGAAGCAAAGGAAGATAAAGGAAGGGTTATGACTCCTTTTGCCTTCTAGTATTAGTGATCAAATTCCAATCTGTTAATAAGTCAAATGGGTGTCTGATTTGGCCTACAGGTAGGGATTGGCCAATCTGTCAGTTCTGCCTTCTTGTACGTTCAAATTTTGTCCATTTTGGGAAATCCTGATATAAAATGAAATTCTCACTCATTGCCAGGAGACAGTCAAATCTTATAAATTTCATTTTCTCCCCTGTTGAAATGTCTGTAGATGCTGGTCGAAAATAAATCAAGGTAATGCTTTCCCTCATTGCTACCAACCGGCAAGTTTCCCAAGAAAGTTTAAAGTCAACTGTTGACATCAACTATTGATCACACTTGGGAATACTTAAAATGGTGGTCCATTTTTTTCAACTACTGATTACACCTGGAAATACTTAAAGGGTGGTCCATTTTTTGAAAGGATAACATGCCCTGAAACTATACACATGCACCTATTAGGTTATCTTATACTTCTCTGTGTATTTTAGATGCATAACCAGTGTGCTATTTCTACAGCTGTGTGGTTTATAGTGGCTCATACTCATCAGTCTGAAATGAATTGCATAATAAATCATTTATAGCTTTACTGGTTTCCTGATCGACAGTGAGTGCAAAGTAAATCACCACCTCAAGGCATCTTTGATATCATGTCATTTACAATGAAACATTATTTCTGTGGCTAACGATTATGGACTCCTATTCCCGCCTTCCTTCTTTCAGAGTTGATCTTAATTGTCAAAGTGTGTGTGTGTCTAGGCTTTTGTGGAGAATCACTGTTTAAAATACTCACTGGACAGCTCAAACCTCATTTCTATCTTTTTCAAACTAGGAAACACAACGTTTTAATAAAAGATGTTCATAAATATTTAAATCTTTTCTTTTTAAATTTTATATGCAGAATAAATGTGTGTGTCTTCCTTTTGACATTAGCCTTCTCAAACTTAAAAAATTAAAAACAGTTTTAAAAGAAAGTTAAAAAAGAACCTTGAAATGGTCTTTCGAACATCTGATCACATGTACATTTAGTGTCCAAAACAAAGTTGATTGATAAGCTTCAGTGCCAGCACTACAACATTATACAGCAAAATCATTGTACTCTCTGACAGTTTGTAGAGTCTGTGCTCCACTGAAATTATAAAAAGTTCTGCAGAGCTCCTCTTAGCAAACACAGGCTTACTCTTCATTTCTCAATGCGCGTAAAAGCTGCTTATAGCACAGCTGTGGCATAAGCGATTTTTTTTCTCTAAGCAATAAATGGTTCAAGTCATCTATTTTGTCCTGAAATGCTACCTGTAGTTACAGCATTGCTTATAAATGGGCATAGTAAAGTCAGCAAAGATAATTTTACAGAAATAAGACAGCAGCATAAGCATTAGCATTACCTAGTATGTATATATGTTTATCAACATAACGCATCAGTAAAAGGTTTAAATGCATATTAATGGGTACCATGTCTAAAATTATTTAAGTACCTATGTTGTGTATTGGATATTTTGCTCAAGGAGTGTGCACTGCAGTCTAAACAGCAGGATGAGATATGAGAACTAGTACAGTTAATTCCTATTGATTAAATAACTTATTTATGCACCAAAGCAAATGGAAGGACGCAATAGATCTCCTCTGTGATCACAATCCTGTATTTAATGTTGAAATGATATTCCAAAATGTTTTAGCACATGTAATTATTATACTCAGGTGGGTACTGAAAGGTCTAAAAAGATCAAATGTGCTGTACTTGCATAGCAAGATGGCACCAGATACAAGAAGCTAAGCTACAACCCTGCAATTTGCAGTTTTGAGCCAGGAATTGTGCTCTTCAGTCCAGAGTGAATTCTTTCCTTAATGATCCATTAATGAACACAAAGCAGGAAGGGCTTATTTTAGAAATTTAAAGAGAGGGCAAAATACAAAACAAATTGTGGCATTAGAAGAAAATCAAAAAGGGACAGTACTATATTGAGTCCTGAATCTGCCATTACTGCCAGATTATATACTTTACATGCACATAGTTATAGGGACAAAAAACCTCTGTCGAGTTTTGCCACACACAACCCATGAACACACTTGAATATTTTAAAGCTTATGTTCTTTCTGTCCCAAATATGGAGGGTGAGCGAGAATTTTGTACATTTTCTATATGTAGATTGAAATGAAATTATCTCTCATTTGCACTGGTCAGATTCAATAGAGACACATATTCCCAGGTTAAAGACAACTGTTTTGTCTGTGCCAATCATACTGAGGTTAAAGCTAAGGATTCTTTTGAAAAAGGAAAGGACAGTGTCAATTTAGCATCATCATGGTTGAATACACTGATATTGAAACCCAGACTTGCAAAAATTAAATACACAATGCCCTAGAAAAAGTAACCTGTTATTTTGGCTTCTCGGATAGTCAAAATTGTCTATAAGCTCAATTTTTTTTCAAAGAATGTCTTTGCTCAATTCTTACAAAATAAAAACAATGAACTGTAATGAGAATATTTGCACTTCAGGGTGTACTCTGCACAAAATATGCTCTATTTTCCACCATAGAACATAGTATTTTCTGTGCAGATAATGCTGTTAAATGGACAGAAAGTACTGTTCTGTACCAAAAAGTGCACAATTTTGCTGTAGTTTCCAACTACAGCATTTTCTGCACAAAGTAATATTTTATACACTGAAAATGCTGTTTTCTGAACAGAAGAATTTTGTGTGTGTTAATTTTGTACAGAAGAAGTCCCAAACTGTGAATAGTTTCCAAAAACTGCAGTTTCTGAAGACCTTTTCATGGCAGGAAAAAATAAGTTAAAATCACTTCTTGCCTCCTCCAACGATGAAATTTGTGAAGAACTGCATCTCTAATCTCCCAATAATGCTGGGAAAGACATACATTGAAACCCTCAAAGAGTCATTCCAGCCTGTGTAAACATCACCACATTGAAGGATCAATGTTCTGATTCAGTGAAATTATGTTCTCTGTATGTTTTTTGAAAAACAAAATGCAGAAAATAAGGTGAGGCAACAGGAAAGGGAAAGTGCCCATGGCAGACAACTCCTCAAATAATGTACAAATGATTATTGACCACTCCTAGAATTAACGGTACTACAGCTACCCAGAAAACATGTAGAATAATCTTTAAGCCAATATGAAACATAACAAAACAAAAATAAAGACATGATACAGCTTTATACTTAAACTCTGTATGTTCCATTCCCAACACGAAAAGAGGAAAAGAATAAAAGAAAAGCAGACCCATCCTTTTTCTTCTTGTTCCAAAGAATAAATCATTAGATCCCAATCTTCCCCTTTCAAATAAAGTGCACTGTCCATGGCAGACCATAGGAGTAATGCAACAGGAGAAGCCCCTTTATAGTACTATTTTATTCTTTAAAAAAACACCCTTTTTAATTATTTTTTTTACAAAACCAACTGAAGGGGGTTCAGCTTTCCTCCTGGTCTCATGAAAGAGGGAAAGCTTTTGTGGGCAGGTGGGAATGGGCCAGAGGAAAGGGTATTCTTTAGTGTCACTGTGGTTAATACACATAGCCTTCATTATAAGGGTGGGTGTTACAGCAGCTTCCTTCTTGCATGTAGACCATGCTTTCATCAAAGTGAGACAGTGGGACGGTGTCCTCTTCATTGATATGGCGTTCCATGTCAGTCTTCAGCAAAGGACGCTGGTTGTCTGGAAAGGCCATGGAGAAGAGGGCTTCAGGATCACAAACAAACTTGTAGACGTATCTCTCCCCAGCAACCTTAGGAACAACATTATAGAAGCAGACAGGAGAGAGGAAATGATTATTTAAGTAGAAAAATTATTCACTGGACCCAATCATACAAAATGTGACCCTCCTCCCAACATTCACAGAAAACATGCCAAAGAAGCAATAATAGGCTCAGTGAGAGTAGTTATCAGACAAAGGAACAGGACCAAAAATCACCAATGCTGCTGTTTTGTTTTTTTTAAAACCCACTTATGGAGTCATTTTATAATTATACTTGAACAAACACATGGAGAAGTCCTGTACTAAGGATCATAGGAAGCTTATACAGGTAGAACATTAATTTTTTTGGATTTACTGGCCAAGGAATTCTGGGCAGAGATTTCACCCATGCTCTGATGTGAACCCATGGATTTGGAACTGACACAGAGGAGAGGATATGTTGGTAATTAAAAAAATTAGTCATTTGGAACAATGCAACTTACAACTGCTTCCCCTTATAAACGAGTCTGTGGATTGACATGCAGCATGCCAGTGAAATCTGATGCCACATCAACAGCTCACCTTTTGCATGATCCCCTTCTCATAATAATAACGAAGTGAACGGCTAAGTTTATCATAGTTCATGGCTGGCCTGTTTTTCTGAATTCCCCAGCGACGTGCCACCTATCATAGAAAGAGATTAGCACTGGTTTGTTAAAATTCATTTTAAAAGCTGGCCTTATATTTTTGAAGTAAAAAAGCAAATCTGGGGTCAAAAGCTTAAGAAAAACTGTCTGACATTTAAGAATGGGATTTACTACACAATACATACAGAAACTGGCAATAAAATGTTGTCATGTGGAGGGCTTTAGCTCGAGGTTTCAGTCAGCCATGGCTTCATGAAGGACATCTCCATATGAACATTTAATATTTCATAGCCAGTATGCACACTCAGCTATTTTGGAATTTTCGCTTATGTTCTCTCCTGCCTCATTTTTCTAAAAGAGGGAGGGATTGTTTCTGCAAACCTTGAAGTAAGTAAAAGTTACTGTTCTAGATCAGACCTCCCAAGGCTATTACAAACATAACCCAATCTACCTCTGCAGTTCACATCTGCAGTGGCTTCAATCTTCCTTGATGTCTCTTCCCTTCCCACTCTTGTACATAAAGTTATTTGCAGTGTTGCCAGATAAATACAGGATGCTTGAAAATGATGCAGTGTGAAAGCAGTATATTTCACAATTGCAACATGTTACAATTACACAAAAAGCTACAAATGGTTTTTGGACAACAAGGCTAATAGTGAAGGTAGTGGTTTTATATGTTTTTAAAGGTTTTAATGTATGTATTTTATAATTCTATTTTAAACATTTATTATAATTTTTACATTGTTTTAATGGCATCCAATAGCTGCCTATGTTGTAAAGCCACCTTGAGTCACCTTTGCGTTTGAGAAAGGCAGTGTAGAAATATCATAAATAAATAATAAATAAATTTAATGAGATATCACATGATTGTTGTTGTTTTTATTTCTCTTTTTAAAAAAACCCAAAGTGGCTAACAATAAAAGCAATACAATACATAATTTAAAACCTGAAAAGATAAAACCATTAAAATAGAATGAAATGGTTTTACTACCAATTTCATTTATAGAAACAAATGTTTAAAATTTTGCAAATGAAGAATATCTCATTAGGCCTTATGTTGTGGGTTCTCACCATCTTGTGAATAGTTGAGGATAGGCAGTGGGAGAAGCATCTAGCAGTAATCATTTGAAACTTGATGGCCAATCCTTCAAGTGGTAGGAGTTTTATTCATGGGAGGTTTGTAGTTGCAGCGATATAACACTTTCAAATTGGGTGCATCTTTTTGAAATAACTTGTACTTTACTTCCCAATCATTGATTGTTTCACTTGGTTTTCACATGGCTTTGTAAAGGGCTGGGCATGCCTGTTCTCAAGCACGGGCCTGAGAGTGTATTATCTATACACACACCACATGCACCACCACAACATGCCCTGATATCTGTATAAGAGTATCATCAGTGGTACAGAAGATACTTTTAGGTTAGTGTGGGAAATTTCTGGTATTCAAGATGTTGTTGGTCTATGGCTCTCATCACATCTTACCTCTCTGGCCAAGCTAGCTAGGATTAAGGGCTTCAATCTCTCCACTCTTGGAAGTAATGCTTCATCCAATTAAAACATGAAAAGAAAAGGGCCTTTAACTGAAAGAATGAAATAGTGGTCTTTCAGCAAGGCACATATTCATTACTGCTCACCTCTTCTGGTTCAATCAGCTTGAACTCCATTCCTCGGCCAGTCCAAGCAATGAAATGAGAGTTTGATGGATCATCCAAAAGGGCAACCAAGAACTGCCATAGCTGAAGAGAGCCCCTCCGCTGGTATGTGGGCCCCTCCCGGTACATTCCTGGCTCCTGTTTGATATCTCCTATAAAAGACGAAATAGTGCTTAGCGAAACTCAGTTCATTTGGTCATCACTGGCACTAGTTAACACCAACAGGGAAGACTGGGGACCATTATTCTAGTCTATACATTTGTATTCATTACCTCCTCTTCCTTTTAGAGATAGCACAAAAAATATGGGTGCAGAGGAACAATCATTATCAGTTTAGTGAAATACGATTAAAAAAAGATAATTCAGATCAATCTCTTTATACTACAGTCTCGTTTGTTTGTCCTGATCTATGCAAAAATAATTTGCAACGGACATGCAAGACCTAGTCCTGAAAAAACATGACCTGTTTTAATAACAGCTTGTGTATCTGAAGGACTCCATTTGTATACAATTCTTTGTACAATCCCTCATATGGAAATACAGTGTATGCTTTATATATCTGCAAAACCCTATTGACTAAAATGCCTTTAGCATGCAAATTCTTCTAAGAGAAATTTGACAGAGTATTTGACTAGGACTTAAAGAGCATGAGCTTTATGTATGGGTATGCAAATCCTGCGGATAGATGAGTTCCTCTTTGGCATATTGGACTTGCATACGAGAAAGATTCATATTTAGCATGGTTTAGCTGTGCATTAGCAATTCTTCTGAAAAGCACTATATCAATTGCAAAGGAGAAAAAATGCTTCACTAAACCATCACACACAGCCAATCTAAAAATTTATGAGTTGTCCCCCCAAAATCCAACAAAACTCAAATGCTTAACACAAGACAGTTTTTAAGATAATCTTACTGAGCAGCACATGGAATTGTCAGCTGAAAAGCTCAGAAGTGAGATTACAATTTTTTTACTGCTAATGATGACTGCAATGCTTGATCTTTGAGCAAAAATGCATCATATCCCACTTTGACGCAAAGCAGAGGATCTTTATAGAAAACACCCTAAAGTCCTACGCTACAGTACATAACATTAAATTAAATCTGCATTGCATTAAGTCTGTACAGAGAGGGATTTTTACCTGAATTCTGATGGAAGATGGCTACTTAAAATACTCTTTCACCTGTCAACCATTATCTTAAGGCAAGGAGAAAATATTGCTATTTAAATATAGATATTAACCTTTAGAGCAGCCTTCCCCAAACTTGTGCCCTCCAGATGTGTTGGATTACAACCCCTTACACAGCAAGCTCACCCAACTCATCTGGAGGGCATCAAACTGTGAAACAATATTTTCTGTTCTGCTCTTTCATTTGGATAAGACTACATAAGTAACCTAAAAATGGTAAGTAAGACAAACTCAGTTGAAAACCAGATTGTTAAGTGAAGAGATGCTTGATGTTGTTATGAAGTCAACCTTTTCTTTTGTTCTCCTGTCTTCTTAACACACCTCCATAGGAAATGTGGAAATGTATGGGAATAGATGTATATATAAGGATTCCATAAAGTGTTGAATGTCATTGAATCATGTCTTCAGATATATGCATATTTAATGCACACCTTAAATGCATACCCAAACGCAATTTAAGGATCAAGTAGGGGTAAAAAGAGTGAGCATTACATAGTGGTTTGGGCACTGGAATCCCTCCTCATTCATGGAAATCAACTGGGCAAGTCACGTTCTCTTATCCTCAGAGAAAGGCAAAAATAACCCCCCTCTGAACAAATCTTGCCAAGAAAATCCTGTAATAGTTTGACCTTAGTATGATTGTAAGTTAGAAATAACTTGAAAGCACACAACAAAGGTTAAAAGCAAGTCCATATTTTCAAAATACTAACTATGGGCATACCACTCATTTGTAGCTATTACCTTTTCAAGACAGAACACAGATATTGGCTCTGCTGATATTAAACTGTAAAGATATATGCATTTCCAAAACATGTCTTCATTGTTAAATGGGAAATCTGCCATATATTTGTTTTTTTTTTTCCAAAGAAAGAACAAGGACTCCAGGGTCAGACACTCCAGGAAAAAAAGAAAGCCAAAACGAGATGCTAAATAAAACCACAGCTAACATATGTTCCAACTCCCAGAGTACCACACTGACTTTCAAAAGAGTCATCTGTGTATGAATGTGTCAACCTTATGCTTGGTGAAATCTTCAGTCAGTTCTAAGTTGTATAAGAAAAGTAATCTCCAAACTATACAAGGAAGTACAGTATAGTCTTGCTTATCCAACCTTCGCTCATCCAACATTCTGTATTATCCAACAGAGTCTGCCTCCCACCTGGATCCACAGCTGTTTAAATACATTGTGATGTTTTGGTGCTAAATTCGTAAATACAGTGGTTACAACATAACATCACTGTGTATTGAACAGCATTTTCTGTTGTAAAACATGATGATTTGGTGCTTAATTTGTAAAATCATAATAACTATGATTATTATAGTTTAATAACTAAGCTTTTCCTTAATCCCTCCTTATCACCCAACATTTTCGCTTATCCAACATTTCTGCTGGCCCATTTATGTTGGATAAGCTAGACTCTAGTATACCACCATCATGAATATCATTTTCAGAAGCAAGCAAACCAGTTCCCAGCTAAAGTCTATCATGATTTTCTAAATTATTAGTTTTATAATTTAAATGCATATGTAACTCAAACATTCCAACTGAAAGAAGTATCTGTCCATACTTTAGTGGAATAAACACAATATTTAAAGATCCCACTTGTTGATTAAAAAAAAGAACAACTACATTGAATCAAACCAAAGAACTATCTAGATCAACAGTATGTTCACAGAATAGCCAACCAGTTGTTTGACCAATAACAAGACTGCACTTATAAGTCCTATCACTTATATTTTACGCCCCTCAGCAACTGGTATACATAAGCAGACTTTTCCTGACACTGAAGGTAATGTATAGCTATTCTAATAGCCATAAATGATTCCATTCTCAGTAAATTTGTCTAATTCCCTTTTAAAGCCAACAACGATGGCAACGAAGTTCATATTTAATTATGCATTATGTGACAAAGTATTGTCTTTTACCTGTCTTAAATCTACCACCATTTAGATTCAGAGGATGACCACAGATTCTGCTTTTAGAAGAAATAGAGAAGAACACATCATTATCTGGTTTCCTGTTCTGTCTCTTAAGGTTGCATGGACAAAACACTTTGGAAAAAATAACTAATATATATAAATGTTTCTACCCTGCCCTTCTAATGCATATATTAATTGTCAGTAGCAAAAAACCACAGCATCATAATAAAATAATAGCAAACAGAAAGTAAACCAGTGACTGATACAAGTAATAGATTTGTACAGAAATAATAAAAAAAATCCTATATTTCTACTTAGGGTCATAGCATTACAGGGAAGAGGTTGGAAGTTTTCCAGGATAATGAGATTTGAGTGGAGGCTGACTTCAGCTTTGGGTGAAATGCCAAACTAAAATTCTCAACAATGTTTCCCAATATGCAAAGGAGAAAGAAGACCTCATCAACAGCTGAGTATAGATAAACTTGCCTTTTCCAATCTGGACCTTCCAGATATATTAGATTTTATTGTTAACTGCTGTCAAGTCAACTTCAACATATGGCAAAACTATGAATGAATAGTCTTAAGTCATACTATTACCAACAGTCCTGCTGACTGAGTCTATCCATCTGTAGTGTTAAAATAAAACTCCCACTATCCCTATTCTGGTTGGGTTATAATTCGACACACCTAGAAGACACCAGCTGAGGGAAATCTATTAAAGAAAAGTATACACTCACATAATCATTTAAAAACACATTAAGTGTCTTGATGGGTCAGAACAATTTCAGTGACTCCCAGCAAACATCAAAATTGAACTCTCTGAAACTAGCCAATATTCCACCAATGCTCGCCATGTGTCTTTTCCTCTTTCCTGCACAATGTAGAGGCAGAACAACACAACATAGAGGCAGAACAAGAAGCATTCTTATTTTACTTAGATCCATTGTTGCCTTCTTTACTTAGCTCACATTCAAAAAGTCTATACCCAAGTAGTATGGTGGAGAAGCTCTCAGTGTTCATTTCAGGCCTGGTTTCTATTATTTTCCATAATACAAGGAGGTGGGACAATATCGAACCATTTCTTTTGTTCGTGAGTTTGTGGTTCACACTAATAGCACAGGTACACTGAGTACTTATCATACTTATCTACTGGACTGTTTAAGGACCACTTGCAGCACAATATGAGAATTGAGATGAGAAATTGACAGAAAGCAGTCATAATGATTTCTGTCTCTAGACTATCATTTGGATTTTAATGATAGTTTAATCTGTTCTATGTGGGGTGTTACCCTGAAAAACAGACTACAGATCACACCACTGACAATGGGTTCAGCTCACTGATATGCACATTCATCTTTTTTGTTGTAAAAAAGTAAAAAAACAGGAGCAAGTCTTCTATTTTATTACTTAATGTTGCATAAATTAGCTTTGGTTCCACACTTCTGTGGAGATTGCACCAAATCAGCAACTAAATCAATTAACTTGCCTGTTTTGCAAATCAACTCCTCCAAAAGCCAAAGAGTAGTGCTATTAATGTGACATGGAATACCGGTCCAAATTTGGTTGGCTACAAAAGCTGTATTAGCCTCATTAGTGATTCTCCCCACAGAATACATGCTAAAATTTATATCCATTAATGAGAATGTGGTTCATTTCATAAGACATTTGATACTAGTCATCCATCCACAAAAACAGTTTTTTTTAGAAAACACAGATATTTAGCGTTTTACTCTTTTGGCATCACCTTCATTAGACAAGCTAATACAATGTTCAGCAAAGCACACCTTTCTCTAAAACACACAGAAACCCTTGAATAGCTCTGTTGCACTTGTGTTCCATAATTCATCTTGCCAAGGATTTAAAAAAGACAAGAGTTTGCATTAGTCATCAGTAAATTCAGAGTTGCTGCTTTCTGTTCTGCTTCGTTAATTACAGGATCAGTTTTCAATAAATCTCTAGTAACAAGCTGTATGTGATCATCAAGTGCAAAGGAAATCCACCTATGACTTCTCAGAACAGCTAGAACTACTGTGTTTTATCTTGTCTCCTGCTACAGAATCTCTGGCAAAAATAGAATGACACATTATTGAAAAGCAGGCTTTGGTTTCTGGAGGCAAAGGTCAAGCTTTGCTTGGGCATGCAGCAAATGGTCTATTAAACTCTCCTGAATTGGAATACTGCTGACCCCCTTTTTAACCTAGTAAAAAAGAAAAAAGGTCCTTATCCTTTTCCCCTTTCGATTTTTCACACTGGGAGAAAATACTGTCTACCCTCCTCCCCATGCCTGAAGCACATAAGCATATAACATACCATCAAACTTCTCTGGAACAACACAAGTGTCATCGTAAAACTGTCTCGGTCCCTTTTCGTACATGCAACCTGTAATTGTAAAGCAAAAGAAGGTTATTTACCAAATGGGGTTGAAAAGAAAAATAACTTAAGAGCAAACAACCTGTTAAAATTACATGTTACAATGGACAGGCAAGGCAAATGTGTCTTGGATTGACGACACTGTTCCGGATTAATGCACTAGTTAATATCAAAATTAGAAACCCTGGTTTATTCAGTTAGGGTGTTTAAACAAACTAGAGTTTATTTTCAACTATGATTTCTAGTGTGAGTAACACAAAACAATGAATTTTTTTAAAAGATAAAGTAAACATAAAAATTACTAAAGGAAGTTGAAGTAGAGTTGTATACAGAAAGAAAGAAAGAAAGAAAGAAAGAAAGAAAGAAAGAAAGAAAGAAAAGAAAAGTGTCCTTATTTACACATAATTCTTAGACAAGGTTTCACACCATTTATTTCCTGAGAACCTAAGTGAAACCATGTTCTTGGATGCCATCTCTTTTTGAGTTTTGTTTCATTTCCTCTGTCTCCTGGCTTGGCATTATATAGGAAGCAAAAAGCATGGTTTAAAGCTGCTGCCGGTCAGTTGCTAAACAGGCAAATTAGAAACTCTGGTTTATTCAGCTAGGGTGTTTAAACAAACTAAAGTTTATTTTCAACTAGGATTTCTAGTATGAGTAACACAAAGCGTTGAATTTTAAAAAAAGGTTAAAGTAAACATTGCATATATGACAAAGTAGAGGAGAATATCTCAGAAAAGATACCAAGACTTTGGCATTTCTCTGAGTTCATACCTGTTTGTTCTACAGAACAAAACATGTTTGGTTACAGTCATCTTGATTTTAAACTTTAGTGAGAACAAAAGCCAATTTCTCTTTATAGTATGGTAATTACTAAAACGTCTGCTTGTAGACAGGAAGAATATAAAACCATACACTTGCACACTTAACTTCTGTTCTGTTTGGGTGAGCCAGGAAGCCTTCTTGCCTCATGTAAATGGAATGGCAGCTAGGCACTTCTGGAAAAAGAAGACAATGCTTGTTAGGAGAGTGCCTGGAATTGCACAGGGCTATCAAATAAAGCAGGCTGTAGACAGAATAATAGCAGATAAAGGAGACAGGGAGAGAGAACCTATCAACACACAGTTAACATTTCAGAACAGCATTATGGAAGGTGTGAGAATGACTCACAATAGAAAGAACAGCACATCTACTCAAGACAATTCAACAGTCTTGGGAACATATTATTTGTTTCTGTCTCCTTGAAGCACCACCTGGGCCACAGACCTCCATCCCACTTCGACTCTTGAACCCTGATGGGTCTAGTTGTCCAGAAAGCATTCATAATGAGATTTCTCTCTCCTTGATCAATTTACTATTTATTTTAAAATTTAATAGTTTTATACAACCCTTCATAACTGATTCCAGGAGACCAGCCTCTCTCACATTGTACATTTTCATTTTATTTAATTATTCTTTCTATATTACCTTCCCACGAAAAGCCACCAACCTGGCTCAGAGTAAATCAAATCAATAAAGCCATAAAACTACAATGAAAACACGTAAAAATACTAAAATCACAATAAAATACTAAGAGTAGTTTAAAAGGCCTGCACCTTACATGAACTGGACTTTACATTTCTGAAGCTGTTTTTTTTCCCTTTGAAGTATATTAGCTATATTAATATACTTCAAATACACTTATAAAACATTTTGCCAATACAGTTCTGGTCTGAATTAAGAGTACCTATGTTGATATTGGAAGCCCTAAATATCTCAAGGCCTCAACATCTAAGGAACGCCTCTTCCTATTCAGCAACGCACCCTTATCCACGGGGAATAAATTCTGTCTGTGAAACCTTGGACAGAACACCATTATTTTTGATTCTCAATTCTGAGCATACTATAGAGTTGGACTGGAAAACTTACTGTATATACTAATGTATTAGTTGATTTTATGTATAACTTGAAGGCAAGTTTGGGGGCAAAAATTATGAATTTTGGTATGACCCATGGATAAGTCAAGGGTTATTCTGCAGAAATGGGAAAGCACCAGTGCTGCCTTGGGACTAGCCACTCCTGGCCACCGCCACCGTTTTCCTAACAGCCATTTTAAAAAGCCAGAAATGTCACCGTAATGAAGAGAGTCGAGAAGGTTGTTGCTTCTTTTTGGTTCCCTAGGATGGGCAAAACTCTTACTGTCACTTTATTTGGAGAAGGGGATGGTTCCTTTATTCATAAGGCATAAAGTACAGAATTCACAGCGACCCATAGATCAGCTGACCCAGGTTTTTGGAGTTGATTTTTAAAACTAACATTTATAGACTTATACATGTATATATAAGGTATCTATCCTCTAGAAATTTGCTAGGTCTTCAAATGCAGATCTATGGTAGTTTCCATAGAAGTTTTTCTATAAAATTGCCTAGAGTATCCAGCAAATTCCTAGATATACCATTTTAACCTCAGATGCAGGTAAGGGAAACTGCAGATATGGGTTGCATGGTCTTAATGTAATCAATGTCCAAGAACTGGGATTTGTTGAAAAAGACTCCTCTCTGTCCCACCTTTGGGAGCAATACATAGTGTCAGGATGTAGGAGATGGCCTTCTCATTTCTGGCACCCAAGACCAAATAAGCACCAAATAAGCATCAAATAAGCTTCATTTTGGTATGAAATGAAAAATAGGGCTATTTATTAAAACTTATAACTGATTTATTCTATATGTTCATGAACGTAGTTTCCAGACTTTGAACATTTTACACTTTTACCTGATCAAATAGTTCAATGTGTTTTAGTCTAATTTTCTAGTTGTTTTAATTGTTTATTTATTTGTACACTGTTCAGAAATATCATGATATAAGCAAGGCCTAAATAAATTATTTATCCGCTCATCCATCCATGGAATCATACATGTTCTGCTAAACTATAATTCTGTCCAAATGTACCTGAGAATAAGTGTGACTTAACAGAGGATGTTAAACCTGCAATGCTGTTTTAGTTTGTTACTATTTTGCTTAAATTGCTGATACAAGTTTTAATGAGCAGACACTACAAACTTACTCCCAGGTAAGCATGCACACACAGTTGCTAAAATATTGTTCAGTATAGCACTGCAATTGGTTCTTTAATTAAACCCTGAAGAATCCCCAAAACAAAAAGAAAAGAAACAGCAGGAAGATAGGACCAAATATAATTTGCCCAGTGTTCTGTGCAAGCCTTTTCCAAAATGCAATCCCGAATTTCACTGTTCACTGACAAGCGATGAGCATCAAGGACTTAGAAGGAAAAGAAAATGAGATTTTACACTGAATTCACTAAGCAAGTGCTGCTGCTGATAAACAATAAGTGTTCATCTGTCCATGGTCTTATTCCAAACACCTTTATCATTCTTTCTTTTTTTTTTAGCACTATGAAGTATGCTGGCAATATCTCAATATTTCTTGAGGAGCCATCCAAGCAAACAAACAAACAAGTCACAGGACCTGGGAGAGAATAATGTAAAATACTTAACATAGGTCTGCTATCACAATTTGACCCAGTCCTCTGTTAAATCCTTCCCCATTTCCCTATCACATATGCATTGTGATATCACAACATTTTACATCACTTCCCTTCAGATCCAGGTTAATGGAAGCTGCTAGCAGGGAAACTGTATGGGATCATCTACTGAATAGGAGAAAGGCAAAAACATTTTCTTGGGTGTCTCTTTAGATCAGCTTTTACTGTAATGATTTTCCTCTCTTCTTATGAACTACAGTTGCCATCAGTGCCTGATAACATGTTAAGGGAGTATTGGTGGTGAAATTCAAACCATTTGGAAAGCACTAACTTGGGATAAAGAGCCTTTAGAATTTCTATTGCTGATTGCAATTTATGAAGCAACCGTCTATTTTTAAAATCTATGCATGTTAACTACAATATAGCCATATGACAGCCCACAGAGAGCTGGATAGGGAGGGAAGGATATGCCTGAGAAGACTTTGTTTCTTGCAAAGTACGTAAAGTCTTATTATTCTAAAGTGCTATTGGCTAATTTATGACTATCAGAATGGGTCAAACTCTAATCAAATTGTAGAAACATTTCCAAAGTGATTATTCAATCAAATGACTAACATGGTTAATTAGGAGCCATAAACATTGCTCTGAAGTTCATCAAAGTAATGACTTGCCCAGAAAAAAATTACTGCCAATTAAATTGCCTGCTGCTTTCATTTCTACCTTATCTAATAAAAAGGCTAACCAATGAAATTTAACATTGCAGTTTTAAATTGTGCTAAATGCTTGAGTAAGACCCAGATGCAGCTTAACTAGCTAACTGGGGCTACATTTTAGAGCAGCAACTGAAAACCGGGAAGTTTGTGTGCAGCTATTTTAAATATCTAAAGGCCATTGTGGGAGGAGAAAAGTAGGGGCAGGGAAGATACCATATGACAATGCTTAGATAGAAGTCAAAAGCTGAACCGGAACAGTGATTTCAGCTATTAAAACTTTTAAATTATTATTTATGCATATTTTATCCAGCATAATTAGGGGGTGGGGGTCACATTACAAATGCTGCAATGATTTGTCATGTACAAGGTCTGCTACCGTCACCAGCTTAGAAGGGTCATAGTTATGAAAGTGTGTACATAGTCAATATGCGTAAGATTCCAAATTTAGTTCTTCAAATCTTTACACTGGGTTGGAAAAGACTCCCCTCCAAAATTCTAGAAAGGGGCCTAAATACTGCAAAGACACTAAATTCTGATCTTGGAAGCTAAACAGGGTCAGCCCTGGTTTGTACTTGAATGGGAGACTGTCAGCAACAACTGAACAACTTCCTGTCACCTCAGAGAAGAAAAATGGCAAAGAAAGCAGAAGGAGTTTTCAGAGAAGAAAATTTGATGTAGGCCTTGCATGTAAGCACTAGTTTAGTCACCACAGGTGAACTGGAAATGCATGTGCATCATGGAAATTAAACAAACCTCTAGAGGGGAGAGGTCTCTTTTTCTGAACCCAGGATCAATCACAGCTCAGTGTCCCTCTTCTGCCTCTCCCCACCAGGCTCCCTAAAAATGCTGCAGGCTGGTAACAGCTGCTTGTGTATGGAGGGTGTTGCAAAGTAGGCCAATTTGTAAGTTGTTCTTTTAGCTAGGCAGTCCATGTTGCATTGCTTTGCTTGAACTGCAAATTGCTAAATTATATGTAAAATAATAATAATAAACAGAGTGAAAATATATGGCTCCTGTTAAGCAGAGCTGAACTGCAGCAGTCTTCCAGACCATAAACTCATGAAAAGTTTAAGAAGCAATCTTGTGCTCAGAAAAAAAAAAAACATAACTGGAGATATAACAAATCAGTCAGGACCTAATTCCTTGCAAAGTGAGAAGGCAGAAAGAGAAGTGAGTGATAGGAAGATGTGACAAGTAAAACAGAGGGTTGGAAATGACTGAAATGGTCTCTTTTCTTGGACTACAGTAAAGGTTTCCTTCCAATCTCCACAACATTAGAATGTAAGTACAAGACATTCATGGTAGATAGCATCCTTTTAACTATACTGGCCATGTTGGCTGAGATATTCTGGGAATTGTCATCGAAAAGAAGTACTATTCCGGCATATAAGATGACTGGGTGTATAAGACGACCCCCAACTTTTCCAGTTAAAATATAGAGTTTGGGATATACTCGCCGTATAAGACTACCCCTCTTCCAACACACACCAAATAAAATTTTTAAAAGCATCAGATTTGATTTCAATATGGTAATATTCCTATTACTGTACCTCCTTCTCTGCCTCTCAGATCTCACACCTGCGCACCTGCACCACTTCACTGTAGTCTTCAGGAGCAAGATCTGAGAGGCAGAGGAGGAGGTATGGTAATAGGATACAAGGGCAGGCCAGACAGGTAAAAGAGGTGTGTTTTTCTGGGCCCAGAGCCACTCTATCTCTTTTTTCCATACCCCGGGAAATCTGGACGCCTACAGCTTGCTCCGCCCTTCACTTATACCTTCCCGGTGAGGCTCCCCTTCACGTCA